TAGGCCATCTTCAGGTGACTACATCATGAACCTCATTGAGAGAAGTTCTTCAACAAAGCAAAGGGTGGCTAATAAATCTATAAATATAAAATATATTTAGCATATTTATCAATTTCTTTTTTTTTTTGCTAAGTAATTCCATATATCTTGCTTCATATATTTGATGCCTTCTGTTGTATCTACAATGTAGAAAGTAGTAAAAATAAAGAAAAACATTAAATGAGAAGGTGTGTCCACACTTTTGACTTTAATCATGGCTCAAGAGTTGGCAGTTCGTCTTGTAATCAGAAGGTTCCGGTTCGAGCCCGGCTCCCACAGTCTGGTCGTTGTGTCCTTGGGCAAGACACTTCACCGCCTTGCCTACTGGTGGTGGTCAGAGGCAGCCTCGCCTCTGTCAGTGCGCCCCAGGGCAGCTGTGGCTACAATGTAGCTTACCATCACCAGTGTGTGAATGTGTGTGTGAGGTGACTGAATGTAGTGTTAAGCGCTTTGGGGTCCATAGGGACTAAGTAAGCGCGCTATCCCTCACACAAGACCTTGCTATGAGAAACCCTACCAGAGGGCAAAAGCCCACTGGTATGCAAATCCCTCCACCATGATAAGGTAGCAATTCACTGAGGAGTTCTTCAAATATACATAATACTAAACGCAAATTTGTGTGTTCTCCCCCACTTTAAAAAGGCATGCTTGTGTGAATAACTAGTGATTGTAGAATTTCTTTTGTTAGTGATGTGAGAGTGAATACTTGTGTATCGCTGTGTGATGAACTGATTACCTGCTCAGATGTACCTGCCTTTGTCTACAGCTAAGGCAGGATTCAGGACATAACTCCTAATTGAATAAGTGGTTAAGAAAAGAAAGACAGATGGTGCATGGAATATTATCCGTCTGGTTGAGATCTGTATCATGCTAATCGCATACAGAAATTTTATTTTTATTGTCAACTGACCTTGATTGATTCTAAATAGCCTACTGTTACTTATATTTAAAACAGCTATATAAAACACTTGACATGGTTAAAAAAAAAAAACAACTGAAGAAAAATCAGTTTCCACTGTCTCAGAGAGGGCCTTAGATCAGTGACTATAGTTAACAGTGTGTACGAAGCATTAATCTTTACATTACTTGTTATTTGTGATCTTTACTAGACATAATAATTCTTACGTGATAGAGCATTGTGATATCTGGCTTTTTTCAGATTTTTACAATAATTGTTATGTGTACTTTAAATGAGTCATGGGTTTAAAATGGTGGTTAAAGGTGTTGGATTACTTTTTTGTTACAAAACCTTTAACAGTGAAGAGAAGCAGACTAGGAAATGGTTTGAAAGTGAAAGCTGTTGTACATTAGTCTGACCCAGTCATCATCAATTTTTTTCAGGCAATATAATGCATTTGCATATGTGTGTAGAGATGTGTTTGTGTGCATTTATATGATCATAGTCAATGTTTTTTACTTTACAATCTACTCATAATTACAGGACATGGATGTAAATACCTTTTATGGAAGGAAACCAAGGGAATGTGCACTTTCTGTCCTCAGAAAGTGAGGACAGTGAGCTTTCAGGGAGTGACAGTAATAGTGATCTGAATGAGTTATAGGGACCTAAAGCTCCCCCAAAATAGGGAGAAATATTTTTTCCCCAAAAATTAAAAAGCCATGTAGTAGAGGGTTTTAAGGGCTTGTCCCAGGATGTTATCTGGTTCTGCTACCTTGCGGGGGTTGATCCTCCTCAGGGCTAAAACCCTGAAAATGTGAAAAAGAGTTGATGTAAGTTTAGATGAAACCTGGGGACTTATGTCTGCTAATTAATTTCAGCAGGTTGAATCATACATTGTTGTAAATATATTTACCTGTGACTCATAGCGCTATGGCTGAAAATGTTTTCCTTTATTCTGAAAGCAGTAAATGTACTTAATGCTTTCCTGCATTTAACATCACACATTAATAAGAAGATTACTACCCTCACAGACATAAACCTCAGTCAGAAACCCTCAGTCAGGAATGCCGAATCAGAATAATTAATTTTTTCAATTCTCAACATCAAGCAGTGTAAGCTGCTGTTATGTTTACGCTTGTTTCCGCCTACAATGCTGCTACAGTGGAGTCTTTGTTTGGAAGGTGGTACTGGCAGAGAAAAGAGTGATGTTTCAAGTGCTTCAGCCATTGTCTGATTCACTTTTCTTCAACTTCTGCCTCACCATCAACATTTCTTATTTTGGTGCAGACTCTGACTCGTAAAATGGGGATGGGTTTTCCTGGAAGTGTATTATACCGACGATTTGTCACCTAGCATAGAATGTTACGCTTTGGGAGTGAGAACGTGTTGCTGAAGTAGATGTCATGTTGCCTGGAAATCCTGCTGCAGTTCTGAACCAAGGTTTCTGAGTCATGATGGTTGTTTCTTTTGGTTCCTTTTTAGTCTGAAATCAGATATGATATCAGCACTTCTGAGTTCATCCATCATTATTGTCCAGTGATGAGATTACTGCTCCATTTGGTAATAGTCAGCAGATTTTTCCTGCGTGTCGACATGAAGAGTCGTACCTGACAGCAGCAGGCTTTATAATAACGCACATTATATTTTCTATAATCACAGACTGACCAATTGTCGACTCTCAGCGACTCACTGTAAAGTTGTGGCCTCAGCTCTGAAGTCCAACCCCTCCCATCTGACAGAGCTGGATATGAGTTACAACGACCTGCAGGATTCAGGAGCGAATCTTCTGTGTGCTGGACTGGAGAGTCCAAACTGTCGACTGGAGACTCTGAGGTGAGTTCACTGACTGCAGCTGTTGTTGTTTTTCTATATTTCAGATCTTTGATTGATGTTTGAAACTTTCTTTAGTTCCTAAATGTTCAGGATGTGTCTGAAGACAAATGTGAAGAAGTTTGAGTGCTTTCAGAAATGTTGTCTTTCCAAACGACTGAACAAGAGTTTTTCCTTTTGGCTCCAAACAGAAGTGACAGACTTGAGCAGGGTTCATTTGAAGGCTGACAGAAGTGTAGTGGGGACGGGGAGATTTGGGAGGACAGTTTTTCAGCCTTCACAGGTTCACATTGTGCTCCATGAGTCAGTGAAGATGAAGTCAGTACTGATAAGGCTGTAGAGTGTATGAGGGATGTGAATAAGGCTGGTAAACGCTGGCGCGACTTGCTGCCTCTACTCACCGCTAACCCTCTCGCTACTTTTCTTCGCTATTCCTGCTTTCTACCCATGCTACTCGCTTCTTGTTATTTCCTACTTGCCCCCTTGCTCTTGATACCCCTTGCTCCTGCTGATGTTATTGCTACTCAGTGATATCCTCTACCGGCATCCCGGCTTCTTCCATCTCCATCCTCCCCTCTTCCTGTCTGTACGGCCCACCAGTGTCTGCTTCTGTCCGTGATGTGGCCTCCCAGGATCTACACACAGTCTGTGTGAGTCTTTATCCTTGTGTCATCGATCTGTCGACCTGGTAATGGACTTCAGTACACAGCCAATGAGCTCCTCCTACTCTGATTTTCCCTGGCTGCTCCACCGACGGCTGTTCTTCATCTCCACACGGATATCGTTTTCCTCCCTCGCCAAAAGTACATTTATCAGCTCTCCCGCCAGAATTTTCATCAGGATAATTCTAAGCCAATCCAATCCTTCTGGTCCACCTCTCATCGCTCTCTGTGGAACCCTGGCAGGACTGTTAACAACAATGTTTTGGCTAACCTGACTTTGTTGGCTAACACTCTCATTCAGTCTGACAGTACCTGCATCAAATTGTAAATTGAGAGCTTCGCTTTTACACTCAGCTCTCTCTTCACCACAACAGACCAGTACAGCGTCCGCATCACTGCAGCCGGTGCACCAATCCATCTGTCGATCTCCCACTCCCTTCTCCCATCACTCGTGAACAAGATCCCGAGATACTTAAACTCCATTCAGATCAGGGTCTCGTCCCTGACCCAGAGTGGGCACACACCCTTTTCCGGCTGAGGACCATGGCCTCAGATTTGGAGGTGCTGATTCTCATTTCCACCGCTTCACACTCGGCTGCGAACCTTTCCAAGGCGAGCTGGAGGCTATCACCTGATGAAGCCAACAGAACCACATCATCTGAAAAAAGTAGAGATGAGATCCTGAGACCACTCGAGTGAAAGCCTTCCGCCACTTGGCTACGCCTATCGTAGCCAAGTGGCGGAATTCTGAACAGAATCGGTGGCAAAGGACAGTCCTGGCGGAGTCCATCATGCACCAAGAACCAGTCCGTCTTATTGCCGGCAATGCGGACCAAGCTCTTGCAACGTATAATGACTGAGTGGCTCTTAGCAATGGGCCAGACACCCCATACTCTCGGAGCACCCCCCACAGGACCCCCCGAGGGACACATTCAAATGCCTTCTTCAAGTCCACAAAACACATGTAGACTGGTTTGGCAAACTCCCATGCGCCCTTGAGTGTCCTTGAGAGGATAAAGAACTCTCAATTCAATTCAATTCAATTTTATTTATATAGCGCCAAATCACAACAAAAGTCGCCTCAAGGCGCTTCATAGATACAGAGAAAAACCCAACAATCATATGACCCCCTATGAGCAAGCACTTTGGCGACAGTGGGAAGGAAAAACTCCCTTTTAACAGGAAGAAACCTCCGGCAGAACCAGGCTCAGGGAGGGGCGGGCCATCTGCTGCGACCGGTTGGGGTGAGAGAAGGAAGACAGGATAAAGACATGCTGTGGAAGAGAGACAGAGGTTAATAACAGATATGATTCAATGCAGAGAGGTCTTTAATCACATAGTGAGTGAGAAAGGTGACTGGAAAGGAAAAACTCAATGCATCATGGGAATCCCCCGGCAGCCTACGTCTATTGCAGCATAACTAAGGGAGGATTCAGGGTCACCTGGTCCAGCCCTAACTATATGCTTTAGCAAAAAGGAAAGTTTAAGCCTAATCTTAAAATCTCTCCTCTCCTGCACCCTGGCATAGACTTTCCCAGGGAAGCTGAGGAGTGTGATTCCCCTGTAGTTGGAACACACCCTCTGGTCCCTTTCTTAAAGATGGGGACCACCACCCCGGTCCAGGGGTACCGCGCCCCTGATCTCCACGCAACATTATCCGCAAATCACCGTCTTATCATGGTGGAAGGGTTTGTGTGTCCAAGGGATCCCAGGGGCTATGTTGGTAGGTTCTCCCATGGCAAATTGGTCCTGGGTGAGGGACCAGAAAAAAAGCAAGTTAGAAGACCTGGCCTGGGATAGGGTTACCCAGGCCCGGGGGAAGGTGCCCGAGGGCGAGCGTCTGGTGGTCGGCCCTTAGTCCATGGGGCCCAGTCGGGCACAGCCCCAAAAAGAGACAAGGGCACATCTTCCTGCAGGTCCACCACCCGCAGGTGGCACTGTAGGGGTCTGGTGCATGTGAGTAGGCGCGGCCAGGAGCGGACCCTGGTGACTGATCCCAGCTACAAGACGGCAATTGGGACATGGAATGTCACCTCTCTGGTGGGGAAGGAGCCTGAGCTAGTGCGTGAGGTTGAGAGGTACCGGCTAGATATAGTCGGGCTCACCTCAACGCTGTGCTGGGCTCTGGAACCAGTCTCCTGGAGAGGGGCTGGACTCTGTCTCAGTCTGGAGTTGCCCTGGTGAGAGGCGTCGGGCTGGGGTGGGTATCTTGGTATCCCCTCGGCTTGCTGCTGGTATGTTGGGGTTTCTCCCAGTGGACGAGAGGGTTTGTTCCCTTCGCCTTCGGGTCAGGAACGGGTCCTGACTGTCATCTGTGTTTATCCGCCGAGCGGCAGTTCAGAGTACCTAGCCTTCTTGTAGTCCCTGAGTGGGGCACTGGAGGGTGCCCCTCCTGGGGACTCTGTTGTTCCACTGAGAGACTTCAATGCTCACGTGGGCAATGACAATGAGACCTGGAAGGGTGTGATTGGGACGAACGGCCTCCTGGATCTGAACTTCTGCGCAAACCACACTTTGCCAATAACAAACACCATGTTCGAAACATAAGAGTGTGCATAAGTACACGTGGCACCACAACACTTTTGTAATCGTATCACCAGACCTGAAGCCATATGTCTTGGACACTCTGGTAAAGAGAGGGGCTGAGCTGTCAACTGATCACCACCTGGTGGTGAGTGTTCTACCTGCGCTGTGTATAGTGTGGGTGGAGTGCTGCAGACTTCAACTGAGGTCAGCAGCCTCTTCGTCAGGCAGTGGAAGGAATATTTCAAGGTCCTCCTCAATCCCACTGGCACGTCTTCCGTGGCAGAAGCAGAGTCTGGTGACGAAGGGGATGAACCGCCAATCTCTGGGGGCGAGGTCACTGAGGCACATTAAACAACTCCTTGGTGGCAGAGCCCCTGGGGTGGACGAGGTCCGGCTCTGGATGTTGTAGGGCTGTCTTGGTTGACACACTTCTGCAATGTTGCGTGGAGATCAGGGGCAGTGCCTGTGGACTGGCAGACCGGGGTGGTGGTCCCCATCTTTAAGAAGGGGGACCGGAGGGTGTGTTCCAACTACAGGGGGATCACACTCCTCAGCCTCCCTGGGAAAGTCTATGCCAGGGTGCTGGAGAGGAGAGTTCATCCGCTAGTTGAACCTCGGACGAATTATATGTCTCCATAAGAAAACCAGCCTTACTATTCATAAGTAAATGTTTAATAATCATGTTCTGTTTTGTAAGGAGTGTATCAGTTGAACTAAATCTGACTATTTCTCTACCATGATCTTCTAAAGCGAGGATTCTACTAAGACACTTCTCTCACTATTCAGCTCTTTTCTCAGGCCACCTGACTTTCTACCCACTCATCTCTACCCATCTAACTTCCTCAACTCTCTAATGCTATTCTTTAATGAAAAAAATCACAAGATACACTAAGACCTGGCTAACATTGCTTAATTTAGCTCTTCCTTCTTTATCCCGCCCCCACTCCCTCTGTCACTGACATCTCTGATCTCATTTGCAAATCAAAGCCTCCTACCTGTCAGCGTGACCCCTTTCCTACCGTCCTAGTCACGCCTGTCTACCCCCTCTCCTTACCCTCATATCTGCTATTATCGACTCCTCACTCACCACTGGAACTGTTCCTGCTTCTCTCAAAGTTGCTGCCATGACCCCAATTCTGAAAGAACAGGTCTAGATCCCAATAACCTGTCCTATCTCCAATCTACCATTTCTCTCAAAAAATTATATAAAAAAAATAGTTGCTTCTCATGCCCATCTACACCAACCACGTGCTCTTATAAAAATAACCAATGATCGTCTTATGGCAGCTGACTCCTCTCTCACTCCATCCTTCTAAGCAGATTAGTTTTATCTGCCTTTATTCATACCCCACTAGTTCAAATCAGGCTAGTGATTTCTTTTTCTTCTCTCACTCTTGGAGGAGGTGGACACATTTCTCACCCTTTCCTTCCCTTATCTTCTCTGCTGCTGCTTCTATGTCCTTGTCTGGTCTCGTCTGATTCCAACCCTTAGAGAGCCTCTCGTTCTCGCTCTTGTTCTCTAAAACTTAAAGAACTATGGATTTGATCAACTGGTCCCTTAATGCAATTGACAATCTATTCTCGATGAGAAGCCTGGGTTGGGGAGAGCCTGAGTGTCCTGGAGGGACGTTCCCTGCTGGATACACGATGGACGTCTGCCTCTACAGTGACTTGACCTAAATCCAATGGAGATGGTTTAGGATAGGATGGACCCCAGAGTGAAGGCAAAATGACCAACAAGTGATCAGCATCTCTGGGAACTCCTTCAAGACTATTGGAAAACAATTTCAGGTGACTACCTCAAGAAGCAAATGTGGCCCGGTTGGTCACAGCCTGAAAAAGGGGCATTAGCCCAGCCCCTGTAAGCCCACCACCGACAGGAGTCACTGTAGGGGTCAAGTGCAGTGTGTCTTGGGTAGTGGTCAAGGGCAGAGACCCTGGAAGACAATCCCCAGCTACCAAGTCTGGTGATTG